AGACACAGTCATCAGAACAGAGCAGGGAGACACTACATGGTTCAAAATCAAGAAGGGGGTCCATCAGGGATGTATTCTGTCTCCATACCTTTTCAATCTGTATGCAGAACACATCATCCAAGACACTGGGCTGTACAAGGAGGAATGTGGCATCAGGATTGGTGGAAGAATCGTCAACAACCTGCGTTATGCAGATAACACAACCCTGCTCGCTGAAACTGAGGAGGACCTGAAGAGCTTGCTGCAGAAGGTCAAGGACTGCAGCCTTCAATATGGATTGAAGCTCAATATCAAGAAAACAAAGATTCTAACCACTGGGCCAACTGGCAGCATCAGTATAGATGGTGAAGAGATTGAGATAGTTAACAGTTTTCATTTGCTTGGCTCCACAGTCAACACTCTTTGTAACAGCAGCCAGGAAATCAGGAGATGAATTGCACTGGGAAAGTCAGCTGTGAGGGACCTCTCAAGACTACTGAAGAGTAATGACATCAGGATGGAGACTAAGGTGAGCCTGATCCAGGCTATAGTCTTTGTAATTACGTGCTATGCATAGGAGAATTGTAGAGTGAATAGGGATGACAGAAAGAGAATTGATGCCTTTGAGTTGTGGTGCTGGAGAAGAGTGTTGAATATACCATGAACTGCTAGGAGAACAAAAAGGTTTGTCCTGGAGCAGGTGAAGCCAGAATGTTCCCTGGAGTCAAGGATTCTGAAGCTTCATCTGACCTACTTTGGGCATGTTGCAAGGAGGGACTGGTTCTTGGAGAGGGACATCATGTTTGGGAGAGTGGAGGGATGGCGCAGGAGAGGAAGACCCTCGATGAGATGGATCGATTCTGTGAGTGGAGTGGTGGGAATGAATGTGTTTGAGACAGCGAGGTTGGCACAGGATAGAACGGCGTTTAGCGCTCTTGTACATAGGGTCGCATGAGTCACAAACGACTCAATGGCACATAACAACAACAACAGTGTTTCCTTGTTCTGTTCAACCAGCTTTTTTGGCCTAGGTATAGATTTTGTATAAGCATTAAGTGTCTTGGAATTCCCATTGTCTCAAGGTTAGCCATAGCTTGTTATGACCACATAGTCAAATGCTTTTGTTCAATAAAGCACAAATAGACATTTTTATTATATTTTGTGCTTTCCGCCAGATCCATCTGATGTCAGCAATGATATTTCTGGTGCTACAGCCTCTTCTAAACCTAGCTTGAACTTCTGGTAGTTCTCTGTCAAGAAACCGTTCAAACCATTTTTGGATGATCTTCAAAATACTTTTCTTGCAATAATATTGCTTAATAATTCCCACATTCTGCTGGATCCCTTCCTTGGGAATGGGAACAAATATAGATCTCTTTCAGTCAGTTAGCTAAGTAGCTATCTTCCAGCTGTCTTTTAATACCAATAGTTTACCTATGGTGGACAGGATTCAGCAGAGCTTTCCCATTAAGAGTAACTCTCAATTTTAATTACAGAGGATTTAACAAACTGTTCTTCTTGGAAAATATGCTCTCTACGCAAGGCTGAAAATTGCACTAGAGTGTGGGGAAGATAAAGAGGAGAGACTCTTAAGTAAAAGAGCTGTATAGAAGATTTCTAAAGTACAGTTTGAGACGTATTATTACAAAGCAAAGTTTTATAATAGAATGTGCAGAGTTGTAACTAGAGAATAAAAATGGAAACTCTCCCTTGGTAATTCTCAAGCTGAAATATCTGAAAACCAAATTAAAGCCGTGAGTTGCAATACTTAAAATGCTATGGGGAAAATACTGAATGATCCAGGAAGCATTAAAAGATGATAGAGGGGATATAGAGATTCAACTGTACCAAAAAGAATTGACTGACACAGAAATATATAAAGTAGTACCATATGGTCAAAAGCTAATGGCAATGAAGGGGAAAAAATCAAGCTAAATGGCAATGAAGGAAAAAAATTCAAGCTACACTTAGGCATTGACAAACAATAAGACCCCAGGAATTGATGGGACGCCAGTTGGCATGTTTCAACTAATAGATGCAGCCCTGGACATACTCATCAGTCTACGCTAGGAAATTTAGAGGACACCTACCTGCCTGCCTGCCTGACTGAAAGAGATCCATATTTGTTCCCCTTCCCAAGAAAGTTGATCCAACAGAATGTAGAAATTATTGAACAATTCCATAATTGTCACATGCAAGCAAAATATTGTTGAAGACCCTTAAAAAACAGCTAAAATAGTACATATATAGAAAACTGCCAGAAGTTCAAACTGAATTTAGAATAGTCTGCAGCACAAGGGATACCATTGCTAATGTCAGATGGATTCTGGCTGAAAGCACAGAATATAATAAAAATGTCTATTTGTGCTCTGTGACAATGAAAAGACATTTGACTGAGTGGATCATGACAAATTATTGCTAACATTGGGAAGAACGGGAATTCTAGAACTTAATTGTGTTCATGCCAAACCTATATGTAGACCAAAAGGCTGTTACTTGAACAGAGCAAAGGAACACTCCATGGTTTAAAGTCAAGAAAGCTATGCTTCAGGTTGGATCCTCTCTTCACACCTATTCAATCAGTATGCAGAACACATTTTTAGAGACACTGGACACTATGGAGAAGAATGTGGCATTAGGATTAGAGGAAGAATTAACAACACCTGCATTAAGCAGATGATAAAACCTTGCTTGTGAAAATGAGAACTTGAAGCACTTGCTGAAGAGAATCAAAGACCACAGCCTTTAAGACGGGTTATAACTCAACATCAAAAAGACAAAATTCTCACCACTAGGCTGATAAGTAACATCATGAGAGATGGAGAAAAGATTGAAATTGTCAATTACTTCCTTCATCTTTCTTGGCCACATTTTAGGACCAGCAGTCAGGAGACCAGGAGATTTACTTCATTGGGAAAGTGTTCAGTCAATCCAAATTACTGAAGAGCAATGATGTCAGAATGATGAAAATGAGGAGGACTTGAAGCACTTACTGCAGAAGATCAAATACTGCACTCTTCAATATGGGTTTCACCTGAACATTAAGAAAACAAAAATTCTCAGCAGTAGACCTATAGGAACCATCATGATAGATGGAGAAAAGGTTGAAATTGTCAATGACTTCCTCTTACTTGGAGCCACTGTCAATACATTTGGTACCAGCGATCGGAGATCAGGAGACATATTGCACTAGGAAAGTCCATAGTCAAGGATATCTCCAAATTATTGAGGAACAGTGATGTCAGCTTGAGGACTAAGGTGCACCTGATTCATTCCATAGTCTTTTCAATCACTTGCTATGCTGCTAAAAGCTGGACAGTGAATGAGGATGACAAAAGAAGAATCATTGTCTTTGAGCTCTGGTGTTGGAAAAGAATACTGAAAATTCCATGAACTGCCAAAAAGACAAAGAGAATGTCTTGGAGAAATTACAGCCAGAGTGCTCTTTGGAGGTAAGGATAACAAAGCTTTGTCTTGCAAGCTTTGGGCATGTTGTTAAAGAGGGGCTATTTCTTGGAGAGGGACATTATGCTTGGAAAGGTGGAGAGGTGGCAAAATAAGAGGAAAATCCTCAACCAGATTGGTTTTAATGGGCTCAAGTATGTAAGAAATGATGAGGTTGGCACAGGATAGAATAGGATTCAGATCTGTTTTTCACAGGATCTCTATGAGTTGTACTCAACTTGATGGCACCTACCAACAACCATTCATGTCTGGTAGTGTATATAATCTTTTCCCTCTACTATAGTATTGGTCAACTGTAAATCTTTCATATGGTTACTCAGTGTTGAAAGCATAAAAAGGCAAAATTGATGAAGCTAAGAATCCTTATTCACAGGAACACTTTGCCTGTTTCTGTTGCTTCTCTGCACATAATATAAAGAGTAAGAAGGCAGATTTACAGTCATAAGTTTGAATCTAGTTTAAGGGTTCTGTTGATGATACAGCATGTGTCTAGCCTGTTGAACTCTCTGAATTTTGTTTTCCTATAATGATGACAAGAGTATAGAATGTGGTAAATTAGAAGGCTAAGTGAGATAATGTATGGCTACAATAGTATTATCAGCTTATGATTTATTTCAATAAAGTTGTTTTTAGAATACCTCCTAGAGTTTTACCTACTCCTCCCTATCCTTAGATTATATTCTATTCAAATAAGTAATGTCTTTTGAGTGAATCAGCACTTGTTTCTTCCTAGTAGTTAAGTTTCCCTACCCTCAACAAAATAGATCAACATAGTGACTGTAACAATGGACTTGAGCAGGTCAGAGACGATGAGGACGGCACAGGATAGGGCAAGGTCAGGCCTGTTGTTCACAGAATCACTATGAGATGTAGTTCTCAACAGTACCTAAGGAAATCTTCACTGACTCTGCTGAGTTTATAAGGTGAAGGGGGTAACGAGTATTCCAAGTTTTCAGCTGCAAAAGGTTGTATTTTATTACCATCTTTATAAAAGACAAGACTACTTTTGTTATATACAGCATCTTATGTAAAGAGGAGACTGCTGTTACATACTTTAGTAATCCTAGTAGTCTATCTTTGTGATACTGATTTTTATTTGTAGATTAGTGTAACTACTTTGAGGAAAAGCAAAGAGATCTTTAACTAGCAAAAACTTTTTAGAGGGTAATTAAAATTCAAGCATTTACTATTGCAGAGCCTCTTAATATTTCCTCTGAAAAACTGAGAAAAAGATGATGATCTGTAACATTTCTCTGGACTTGTTTTGGCATTAAGCAGAATAAAAACATTAACTAGAACCTAGATTTCTGCTGGGTGAGCAAAGTTTATAATTACCTGATTCTTTTCCCTTTAGGTCCCATTGAAACAAGGTGATCTTAACACAACAAAAACAACAGGCACTGTACAATCCAATGAAAATATTCCTCAAGTATATTTTTAATATCATAATCAAATGTCTAAGCCATCCAGAGTAAACTATTGCCTTTTTCCTCAGAAAGTACTTTTTATTTCAGTCTTTAACTGATGTCAGGCCGACGTTAACCTTTGGAAACTAGTTAAACCTCCACTGTGTCTGGAAATGAATATATTTGAGATGCCTGGAGGTCTAGATAGATACTGAAGAGTTTGGCATAGATAGGATGCTTCAGGCCAAATTTCATAAAGGTTTTGTATGAAATATATTCTGCCTGTGGTCCAGCTATTTCCCGAAAGAGTTTGGAAGTATCAAGGTTTGGAACTCCAAAAGCTGCACGAAGAATAGATGTTAACTCCTCCTTTGTTATGTAACCATCTTGATCCGTATCAAAAAGTTGAAAGGACATCTGCAGAATCTTTTTTGTGTCATCAGGATGACACAGGACCGCCAGGCCTATCACATATTCTCTGAAGTCTATGCTGCCATCGTTATTTCTGTCAAAGAGGGTAAAGAGTTGTGTGAGGGGCTTCGAGACCGGGAATTTTAAGTATGTCGCAAACTCTTCAATGTTTACCTTCCCTCCTTTGGAGGCAGCTGCAATTGCAGCATACTCATCCAAACATCGATGGATGTTATTCCAGTCTATCATGAGTTTCTGGCTGATTTTTGTGAACTGCATCAAGCCAGCTTCCATGGGTAATTTAAGTTCGCCTGCAGAAATCATCAGTTTGCAGTCTTCATAAGCGTCGTCTGTGACAGGCACTCCCAGCGCATTTGCCATGTTGATTCGCACTGAGTTGGCGAAAAGGACGGGATCTTCTCTTTCTTCACGATCTGGGGTATAAACAGGCATGAACTCAATTGTCATCCTGGTGAAGAGTTGACTCATTGTCAAAGCAATGACCTGGAAGGATGAAAACCCTTGCCAGGTCCAGGTCACTGTGTCCAGACTGTTTGGGAATCGGATGAGCACTGGCTGCACAGGTACACCTGGAGTGAAGGCCCCAAGCTTAAAAGTGACCAGGCAGCTGCCGTTAGTGCACACTCCTTCTGGGAAAATCAGAATCTGTGGCCACTTCCTACCAGCTTTCACGCGCCGCAGGATTTCCTTCCGGGTAGTCTGCCTGGAGTTGGGGTCTCCTCTGTTCACGAGTACAGGCTGTGTTGACAGTATGATTTTCCTAATCCCTGGGATCTTCATGCTTCCACGGGATGAGACCACCGAGGGTAAACCCGCCACAATACAGACGATGGAGTCAAAGAATGTGGTGTGTGGCGCCGCCACTAGCAGAGGGGCCTCTTGCCACGATGCCCTCTTCCCTCTCACTTTCACCAGGAACCCCATCAAAAAGATTACAGCTTGCAACAAGAACTTGAGAGGTGGGATTGTAAGATTTCTTTTCCAGGTAGGGATGGGCCAGATTGATCGAGTATGACGGCCAATGGTAGCGAATGTGGCCACAGGCCAGATGAAGAGAAAGAGGAGTACAAGGCAGACCGTCCTCACTGGCACCAGCACAAGCCCAAGGAGGATGGTGAGGATCCAGTCCCGCGCCCCAAACTGCGTCTTGTGCTCGAAAGGGTTAGCTACTGCTGGCGGGTACAAGGACCTGCTCCTTCGCGGCTGGCGCCCTGATCCACTCAGGTCTTCATCAGAGGTGTTCATCTTCTTTTCCACGCTTGAGGGAGGCATGTGGTCCACTTTTCAGGCTCTGGGAACCTTTTAGAGGCTGCGTCCTGAGCTCACCCCTCCCCCATAGCCCAGAACTTTTTCTGTTGGCAAATAATTAGAACTTAAAGACAATTGTTGGCTAATAGGAAATGATGTATTACTTTCAAATTTGAAAAATCAGATGCCGGTAATGTAACAAGAAAATTACAATCATATTAACAGGAAAATAGTAACTGCTTTGTTTGCATACTTTTTACTTTTGATATATATACTTATATATATTGCTGTTACTGTTATGTGCTGTTTAATCACTTGCTACTCATAGCAACCCTATGCACAATAGCCCTAAAATCTTTTCTATCCTGTGCCAACTTTATTGTCTCTGACACGCCTACCCTTATTACCTCAGTCCCTGAATCTACCTTTGGGTTGACAGTGGTTAGCTCATTACCACTAGGTTATCAGAACTCCCTTGGCAATGAAAGCAAATATATTTACTCCTTCTAAAAATTCATGTCTAAGGAGAAATTTCTGGGAGCTCTAGTGGCCTAGTGGTAAGAAACTCTGTTGTAATCCCAAAGGCACACAGTTAGAAATCCACCAGCTGCTTTGTGGGAGAAGGATGGACAATTTCCTCTTATGCTATTTATTGTCTCTGAAAACCCATAGCTGGAGGCTCAGCCTTGGGTCGATGTCTACTCAGTAAGTAAGGAGTTGTATTATCAACTCAAAGGCAGATAGTTCAAATCTATCAGCTGCTCCATGAGTGAAAGTTGGGTCATCTTCTCCAGTGCAATTTACAACCTCTGAAAATCTGTTTACGGGTCAGCTATGAGTCAGTTACAACCCGACAGCGCATACACACAAAGCTTGAATTAATTTTCTAAGACTTAAAAGCAAAATTTTAAGCTTCTGAGAGACTTTCCCACATTTTGGAGCATACCAAATTATCAGTAAAACCAAGAGAGCAGTGTAGATACCAAAGTCTGTTAAACAGAATGTGATCTAAGCAGATTTACAACCAAATTGATCTAGGCTGGATTCTGGCTCCAGCATGCATACTGTGGGTATTGACTGTATCACATTTTAAACTTCATTTTTACATCTGTAAATTGATGACACTTCCTATCTGGCAATGTTGCTGTGGAGGCACAGGTAAGATACTGGTAGAGAATTGGACTTTTACTATAAATATGAGTTTAAGATACAACTTTATTTTATCTTAGTGAGAGAGAGACATCTCTTGGACTTACATGGGAACACAATCATGTTTTAACAATGCTATTGGTTGTTTCTTCATACCAAGGGAGACCAACCCAAGAGAATTAGCAGTCCCTTGAGCTGGTATTTCTCTCATCTGTAACTCTTTTCCACTCTTTTTTTATGCTTGTTTTTTCCCTTGAAGCACTGCTTAATTCAGCATTCTGTATATGCTATTTAACAAAAATTGCAATGTTGCTATTTAACAAAAGTTGCGATGTTCCTATATCACCTTTTATCTTCCACAGGTGCCCAGCAGTGTGTCAGATATAGCATTTATTTAGTACCTGTAATATACCAGGCTGATAGTGAGCGTCTCCAGCGATTCTTTCCACAGATGTAATCAATCTGATTCCTATGCATACCATTAGGTGAAATTCATGTGTGTAGCCTGTATTTATGTTTTTTATAAAAAGTACTTGCAATGAGTAAATTGTTGATTGTCAAGAATTCTATCATGCTATCTCCAGCTTAATTTCTGTCTCCAAGTCCATGTTTTCCAATTATTAATCCTTCTCTGTTCCCAACTTTTGCATTCCAGTCACCCATTATTATTAATGTATCTTGATAACATGTTCAACTGATCTCTAGCTGCAGAAGTTGGTAGAAATCTATTGCCTCCTCTTTGGCTCTAGTTGTTGGTGCATATATTTGAATCATAGTGTTATTTACTGGACTTCCTTGTATATGTGTGGATATTATCCTATTACTCACAACATCATATTTCAAGACAGATCTAGAAAGTACTTTTTTAACTATGGAAGTGACCCCATTTTTCCTCACCTTTTCATCTCCAGCATGATAGGTCTGATTGTCTGACTCAAAATGCCCCATGCATCTTGCCCATACCTAGTATGTCAATATTTATGTGTTCCATTTCTTTCTTTTTTTTTTTTGAGTGGTACTAATATTAGATGGATCTTGGCTGAAAGCAGGCAGTACCAGAGGGGAAAGTCTGTGTTTCATTAACAATGCAAAGGCATTTGACTGTATGGACAACAAACTGTGCCTAACTCTGAGAAGAATAGAAATCCCAGAACACTTGATAATGCTTAGGAGGAGGCAGTCATCAGAACAGAGCAAAGAAACATTGCGTGGTTCAAAATTGGGAAGAGTATATGCCAGGGGTGTGTCCTATCTCCATACCTTTTCAATCTATATGCGGAACAGATTATCCAGGAGGCTGGGCTGTATAAGGAGAAATGTGGCACCAGGATTGGAGGAAGACTCATCAACAAGCTGTTACACAGATGACACAACTCTGCTTGCTGAAACTGAGGAGGACCTGAAGCACTTGCTGAAGAAGGTAAAGGGCTGAAGCCTTCGATAGGGATTGAAACTCAACATCAAGAAAATAAAGATTCTCATCACTGGGCAATTGGCAGCATCATGATAGACGTTGAAGAGATTGAGATTTTTAACAGCTTCAGTTTGCTTGGCTCCATATTTAACATTCTTGGTATCAACAACCAGGAAATAAAAAGACAAATTGTATTGGAAAAGTCTGCTGCTAGAGACCTCTCCAAAGTACGGAGGAACCACGATGTCAGTCTGGAGACTAAGGTGTGCCTGATTCAAGCCATGGTCTTTGCAGTTACTTGTTATGCATCAGAAATCTGGGCAATGACTAGGGATAACAGAAAAAGAATTGATGCCTTTGAGCTGTGGTGCTGGAGAAGAAAGAGTACTGAATATACCACAGATGGCTAGGAGAACAAACAAGTTCATCCTAGAGAAGGTGAAACCAGGCTGCTCTTTGGAGGCAAGGATTCTGAAGCTTCATCTGACATACTTTGAACATGTTGCAAGGAGGGACAGTCCTTGGAAAAAGACATCATGCTTGGGAAGGTGGAAGGACAGCGCAAGAGAGGAAGACCCTGGATGAGATGGATAGATTCAATGACTGGGGTTATGGGGGTAGGTGTGTCAGAGTAAATAAGATTAGCACAGGATAGAGCAGGTTTTAGGGCTATTGTACATAGGGTCGCTATTAGTTGCAAGCGACTTGATGGCACATAATAACAAACAACAATATGTCCCAAGCATGACATCCCTCCCAAGCATGGTGTACCTCTCTAAGGACTGTTTCTGCCTTGCACCATGTCCAAAGTATGTCAGATGAAGCTTCAGAAGCAGTCTGGTCTCACCTCTCGAGGATGAATTTGTTTGTTCTCCTGGCAGTCCATGGTATATTCAATACTCTTTGCCAGCACCACAGCTCAAAGGCATCAATTCTTCTATCATCCCTAGTAACTGTCCAAATATCTGATACATAGCAAGTAATTGCAAAGATCATGGCCTGGATCAGGTGCGCCTTCATCTCTGGACTGAATCATTGCTCTTCAGTACTTTGTAGAGGTTTCTCACAGCAGACTTTCTCAGTGCAATTCATCTTTTTATTTCCTGGCTGCTGGTACCAAGAGTGTTGACTGTGGAGCCAAACAAAGGCTTTTAAAAATCTCGATCTCTTCACCATCTATCATGATACTGAAATCGGGGATATTCCAGGTCTTTATTCTTGATGCTGGGTGTGTGTCAACTAATAATAATAATAATATCCCTGTTCTGTGAAGTTTATATCCCTGTGTATGTGGAAGTTCAGGCACCAATTTTTAATGCACTGAGTGGGACAAAAATGATTCTTTGCTAAATGTCTTATCAATTAACCTGGAGAATTAAGGCAATGATTTAATGGATTTGCTTCCCTGTTAATGTCTGTCATATAATGTTCATTATATATAATCATTCATATATAGAAAAGTATATATGAATCTACATCAGTTTTTTTTAGAAAAAAACTGCTTAATCTTCTCAATATAATTAGCATATCATCCAGGTTTATTAATTTAGGTATACTGGCCTCTAATTTAATAGATATGCTATAAATTCAAGAGATTTGGTAATAGAATCTTTTTAATGGTTAAAAAATAGTAAAAAGAACTTTTAAACAATAAAATAAAAATACCATTTCAAGTTTGTCTTTTAATATGGCACATCTAATCTTTAATATACATTTGGAAAAGGCACCATATGTAAACAGGGTAAAGAAAGCAATAAACCAAAACGGAAACACTTTCTCCAACTTCATTTTTTAACAAATGTATACATTTTAAGGCAGGTACTTTCCTGTGCAAAATACAACTGAAGAAAATCAACATTATATTACATGTTCACACACTCTCAGATGTTTTCAATACCATTTGTCAATATGCTTATTTATGATCAAGCATATTAAAACAGTTTTCTCAATAAAATTTAAAGAAGTCATTGAACAATTTTTATAAATGAGATTTTCATTGTAGATCCCTCATGGCAGATAAAAGTCAGTCTTTTTTTCTTGTTCCTTCTTTTAGAAATATCCATATCAATTTGTTCACGATATCAGGTTGGTCTTGCTGAAGCCAGTGGCTAGCTTCTGACAAAATCGTTAGTCTGAAATAGTTTTTAACATAAACCTTTGTGACTTCAGCCATTTCAACCTCCATAAATGCATCTCTCTCTCCCCACAGTAGTAGCGTTGGAGTGGTCACCATGTGATGTCTGAGAGGCAGGCAGCTACAAAAACAAAACACATGGGTTTCAGACTCATTGCAAATGCTAACATAACCTTTTTCCAAACGCTCCATTTGGCCATGCATTCACAATTGGAGTGATTATTACCCCCCAAGAGGTTGAAAATTGGTTCTTGGGAGTGTGGAAAACTTACTCTCTTGATATATAAAGCATGGATGTCCATGCATTACATAAATGGATATAAAGCATATCTGTGATAATTAAAATTTCCTGGGATAAGAGTTAGGAAAAGTGTCTGACAAGCCTCCTTAGGGAGGGGAAAATGATTAAAAAAAAAAAAGAAACATAGCATTGAGACAATCAACCTGTACCAATTAAAAAAAAAATACTAAAGGCTATTTAAGAAAAAGTTCACTACAATTTTAAATTAGGTGTTATTGTGTGCTGTTGAGTCATAACCAAACCATGGCTGACTTTCCACTGGGTTTTCAGAGACAGTTATCGCACAGCAGGAGACTGCCCATCCTCCTGCAGAGCATCTGGTAGATTGGGATTGCAGCACAGCTTCTTCGCATAGCAAAATTTAAATGAGCCCTGCTGACACAGTGGCTAAAATGCTGAGCTGCTAATTGAAAGGTTGGACATTTAAACCTACCAGCACTCCATGAAGATGAGACAGTCCGCTCCATAAAGATTTATAACCTGTCTGGCAGTTCTGCTCTGTCCAGTTGGGTCACTATGAGTCAAAACCTACTTGATGGCAGTGGATTGGGAGCAAAATTTATAATGAAACCTCTAAGTAAAACATGAAATTCATCTCTTAAGAGATATACTTTGCTTTAAAAGCATGCCAGAATTCTTAGCTATTGTGATAAAAAGAAGCATTAAACTATAACAGTTTAAATATTTTTCCTCTTTTTGTCATATAATCAATGTGTTTTATGTGAAAATTAAGAGTGGAAAATTTAGGAGATTTATGTGTACTGAGCTTTATATGATTTATATTTTACAAGAAGATATTTTCCAAAATCAAGTTTTTTATTGTGTATATTTTATATGTAAAACAATAAAAAAAAATTGAACCACCAGGCATGATTCATCAACAAACGATAAACTTTTGGTCATTTTGTATGCATATAATTAATATACATCACATATACAAAATATAAAGAATTTCATTTTGTAT